GCGGCGTCCGTGACTGTGAGTCGTCGGTTGCCGTCGGTGCGCGCGACGGTGGACGATTTCTTGGGGGATTTCGGGGCGAGGGACCCTTTCCCTGCTGAGTTGGAGAGTGGGTTCGGAGAGAAAGTGTTGGGATACGGTAACACTGAGCACAAAATTCTTATCCCCAATATCTCTGCTCTCTCCCTCTCGCAGCAGGACTGTGCCCCCATTTCCCCTCTCCAGCCCCCCATCTCCAAAGATGATGCACAAACGCTCGTTCGAAAGGTAACAACCATATCTCTTAATATATAATTAAATTATGATAATAGTGTCCAGTATTTATTAAAAGAAAAAAAAAATGCATCAATTTTTTAGACTGAATTATAATATATATTTTTATGTGAAATTATGAAACTTAAATATATTTAATGATTTTTTTAATATATATACTTGGATGGGTTCTTTTTCACACTGGTGTATTCTATACCTACTGTAGGAAATGGAAGAATATCTGGTCTTAAAAATGTAACAATATCTCATAATATATAAACCCATAAGGGCATTTATGTTTTTAGTTGGAAAGAATTTTTTTTTCTTTGTTTTATGTAACTTGTATATGTATTTGTTATATGAATATTTAAGCATTAATTGCATGTTAATCTTGGGAAGATGACATTGAAATTCTCCCATGCATTGTCATTCAACTTTATCAAGTATAGTGATGTACAGGATCATTACCCAACTTGTGTGTTAAAACCAAATTAGGATGCCAAAGATGTCACATCCACTAAATCTTTATATATTGATAAGATTTGTAAAATAGTAACAAATGCTACATGTATTTATGTTTTAGAATAAACATAAAGGTAATGACTACTTAAGTCAAGAAAGTTAGAGATAATAAGTACAAACACTTGAGAATGAACTTTGTGAAAACTAGTGACAAGCATTAAGTGCAAAGCTTGAAAGTGAGCAAGTCCTACTACTATTAAATGTGTATCCATGGAATTAAATGATGAAGATATCCTCTGTTTCTTTTAGAGAACAAAATCTTCCACCTTTCTAACAAAGTTACTTTTTTAAGATTCATATACGCATTCGCTACCTAAATCATGAAAATCATCTACAAGATGCAATTTTTAGTGTTTTTTAATTGATATCCATATTTTGTATTTCTTTTATTGTATAAAATTAGTCTATTTAAAAATTAAACATGTCAAGATCGACCCTTGTTTATACTTTTAGAGTGATAGGCCTATCTCAAATAATTTAATCAACAATGAAAAATTGAAACATGTGTTACTTTAAGAGGGACTAAATTAATAAAATGAATGGAAGATGGAAACATAGATTAAAAATATTAGAGGTACTAAAATTAACTTTTACACATAAAAGTAAAATTACAAAAGAAATTTTTTTTTTCTGAAGGCAAAATAGTGTATCTTTTTATAATAAACTTTAACATGTATTTTCACAATTAATTCAATTTCCTAATTAGCATGATTTCTAAATTCAAAACGTAAAAGTCAATAAGCATTTAAAAACTAATATTAATTTTTAGAATCAAATTAATGCAATAAATCTATATCGTATTTAATTAAGTTTAAAAATTTTAAGGTAAAAGTCCATAAGATATTAAATAACAATGAATACATATCATATTTCATGCCATAATACAAAGTCCACCTGTTACTATAAATATTCGATGTGTCAATATGAATTTAAGAAACACTAATTTCTCTGAGCAAACAGAGATTCTTGTTTGTTTTAGATTTAACAATTATATCTTAAAAATTATACATAGGAGATATGCCAAAGGTTTCATTCAAATTAGTCCTTTTGTTTGTGATTTTTGTCACAGAAGCTTATCATGGTATTAATTTTCTTTCCATCTCTTTCCTGTAATAAGTTATGTTTTACTCAAATGTACTTATATTAAAACTATATCTTTTTTTTTTCAGGACTTTCGTTTTCAAGGATACCAATAACAAACACAAATGAGAAAGTAACTTCATGTGTTACTGTGGATGATTGCTTTCATAGCCTTCACAATATAAAGTGTGATGCATCATCAGTTACATGTTTGGACAATTATTGCGGTTGTAAACAAAAAACCAAAGAACCGGGTATATAAAAAAAATGAAGAAAAAATTGTCTACAAAAGAAAATGTGTTCATATTTTTAGAATACAATATTATCACATTGAAATCATATTTAATTAGAGACCTAATGATTATTAGATAAAGTCATTTATAAATATTCACAAAAGTAATATAATTTATTTCATGCATACCCATTGTCATAAATATTTATAATAATAACATTATTCAAAGAAACACTAATTTCTTTTCAAATACATCAAATTTTAAATATCTTTTTCTAGACATCAATATTATTGCGAAAACAACACCAAATTTTCTTAAAATGTGTTATATTTTCATTTAATTCTTATATCTTAAGATTGCTTCTTAATTAGGAAATAACTCAAACTTTACTAAACCTAGTATTTTTGTTTAAACTTTTGCCTTAAAAAGTTGTTATGGTCTTTTTTATTTATTTATTTACCACTTACACTTTCTATGTCATTTTTTTTCATTAATATTTCTTATTTTAAAATTTTACACTTAACTTTGTAGGTCATGCTTTTTCGAGTATACCATTATCAAAGGCTGGAGTGGTAGATTCTCAATGTCGTTCAAGCGATGATTGTCTTTATTACATTCCATCTTGTCATGGATCACCACCTAAATGTGATGATGGTATTTGTACTTGTTAATTAAAATACTCTTATGATTAAAAATAAAGAAATGTCTTAAATAAATGTGTTTTGAAGTTTTAAGAATAAGGGCTTAAATAAGATAGTGAGTTATACAATGAACATACAAGGTTCTTGCATCAAATATACAAAAATGATGAATAAGACAAATGTACCCTTATTCAATTTTATGTGAACATTTAGCGTTTTGTGCCACCAAATGAAAGTATAGTTACATGAAAACTGTCATGGATCAACCATTATATTACATTAAATTTGTGGATGATTCCTAACTAATCTTCTAAAGCAAATTTCCATGATGATATGAAGCATGAACGAAAAAATAAAATTTTGCTAAAGGGGCATAATTTTAACACATGATAAATAAAACTAATATTTATAACTAGAATTAAATTTTCTCATATAATCAATTTAAAGGATAACACAGAATGGATAAAATATATTTGAAAGCAATTAACATATAATTGTGAAAATTATATGGCATATAAAATAATTAGTTTTCCACAATTTATGTAACAAAAAATTATATGGCAATCAACATAAAATAAATAATTATAGCTTAAACTAATATATATATATATATATATATATATAAAAGAAATTAAATAGATAGTTTATATTTTACCAATAAAAATGTATAAAAAAATTACTTTGTTGAATAAAACCATAAAAAATAAATAAAATAATAACTAATAATGTTATATTTGAAATAATAATAACAACAAATATCGGTAACAACCCAATAGATTGTCACACTAGCAACACACAACACACACACCACGCAACAAAAAAACATAACACATCTAATCTAGGATTCTCATGCGAACAGTACTTGCATATTCATGCAACAATATATGGGTATTGTTTGAGTCTATGCATTCCATGCTTTATTCTTAGAATAATGCGGGTCTATCACTACAAAAAATGTGTGATTTGTGGCGGTTATTTTGGCATTATTGAAAAAAATTGAGAATAATAAGTATTGATCATTGAATCTTATTTGAACGGTCAAAATTAAAGCTAAAAACAACTTGTTTTTAAGCAGTCATGCAATTATTAACTTGTAAAGTGAACTATTCATGTATGATTATATAATTAAAAGTTATTATTCTTATGCCCCATGTATATTTATATATCTTATAACATGACATTTTCTAAATTTTGCAGGAGGTTTAAGTATGAATGATTTCATTGTTGCTTCCAAGATAGATGAAATAAAGACATCAGATCTTGTCCCAAGGAAATATAAAAGTAGGGTTGGGTAAATGGATCTGGGTCTTTAGGCCTGTACCTGTCTAAGGGCACACTCGTAATCTTCAGGTGGGTAGAGGACCGAACGGAAGCTTCAGG